TATATATATATATATATATATATTTCAACATTTTCAATGTCTTGTTTCAGGATAAGTGAGCCATGTATCAAAAACATTAACCATGCTCAGTTTACTTTCACCCATATTTCATGAATCAAAAACATCAACCATGCTCAAACGATTGCACTTCTATCTATGATGCTTAAAGGATGCTGTGGTGTGAAAATCATAAATTTTTTTCAAGCAGATAAAGGCAAAATTCAAGATGCTATCAATGCATTTAATGTTCATCTACTTGGCTTTTTGCTCAAATTTGTTTTGATTAAAAATAAACTCGACTGAACAAGATTTCTGGACAAAATCCCACTTTCTCATATTTGCTTGTTTACCACACAATGCTTTTCCAGCACCCAAGAATTTGCAGTGGATATGATCAGATGCGTTCATGAAATTGACTCCCAACCATATAGTCAGGAGTTCTACATCTACTTTGCACGCATCACATACAGCATTTGGCCAGTTCCTCTTTCACGTCTTTAGTTCAGAGGCCATATGGGCACTTCGTAAACTATGGAGTGTAACAAGGAAGTACTGTATTAGCATTTCAAAATCAACTCTCAGAACATTTAAAAAATCTTCCTTGCTGATGAGAATTTCCTCAATTTTTTTTTTCATTTCGTTGGCTGCCTTCTTATTCATGGATTGGTTGCGATGCCATAATTTGTCATATGCTCTACTCATGTAACACATTTTTTGTATTGAAGTGTATGATATTTTAATAATTCTCTATGATTTTTTGTTTTCACTAATAGGAATGACAGGAAGTAACTTATTTCAGCGTGCTAAGAAGGTTACACGTCGGATCTTTCAGTGTAGAACAGAGTAGTAGAACTTCTAATAATACATCGACTTCGGTGCATCCAGATTCGTCCAATGCTGATGACTATAATAACAACGAACAATCCCCGATGCATTCATCTCAAGATTTAAGACGGCAGGTGCCACCAGCGGATGATGGAATTTGGCTCATAGGTTTTTGTTCACTTTAATATTTATTTATTTATGTCAATTTTAATAATTTAATAAAATAATTGTCTCTTACATCTTTATTTTTTTTCAGATGATGAGGGTGATCCAATAAAAAAGAGAGGTCGAACTACTTGTGCAGATATACAGAGCATGCCTCCAGGTACACGGGTTCACATTGAAGTCAATGAGAATATGGTGCCATGTAATATACCAGAGTCTATTCTGCTTGGTTCATACTTAGGGGTTCTAGCTAGAGATCCTATTTTGGCACCGATCTCATTCTCAGATTGGCGCAATAAAGGGATGGAACTTTTTAAAAAGAGAATGCTAGCTGAAGTAGAGGTAAGTATCATAACAAATAGTTTGATGTTATTTATGTTTGTTTGATAATTAAAATCATTTAACATTTATTAGGCCAAATTTGAGTTCCTTGCAAATATAAAGCATTGGATACTACAATCTCTTGGGTCCAAATGGCGCAATTATAAAAGTAGTTTGAAGGCAGAACACTGGGATAGTAGACCACTACAGGAGATTATGGAGGCTGTCCCTGCAGGAGTAGATTCAGTGCAGTGGTGTCAAATTGTTAATAAGTGGTCACAACCTCAGGACAAGGTGAGTTAGCAAAATAAATAGCGTTATTAAGTTTTTTAAAAAATAAAATTAATATAACAATTATTCATTGTAGGAGAGGGCGTCAAGAAATTCAGAAAATGCAAAAAAAACAAACGTGTCCGCATACTATGGGTCGGGTGAGCTCTGTCAGGAGACAGGAAGAAACGGCACGTATTCAAATTGCTTATATATTTATATTTATATGAATGAAATTAATTTTCAATTTTTTGTAGTCTATACGAGATCGCCTGCTATTATGGCAAATCAATCGTAAGCGTAAAGATGGATCATGGTCATCTGAGGCGGCCAGAGAAAAATGGGTAAAATCGTAACATTTCACATGATCGATTTAATGAATGCTAACTATATATTTTTTTCTAAATCTAGGCACGTGCTTCTGAAATGCTTGCCGAGGAAGGGTTGACGCCAGAAGATGGAAATTTTGAGGCCAATGAAAAAGTTTTCAAAACAATAATGGGCCCAGAACACCCAGGGAGGGTACGCACACAGGGTTTTGGGGTCACTCCAAGCAGATATTTTCCTCATAGCACCACGACTCGAGGCAGCAGCAGTGGAGGAAATACTGCATTTGATCGAGTGGTAAGACTTGAGGAGGTGGTGCAAACACTACAAAGTGAGGTTAGACAATTCATGAAAAATCATCAGGGACAACATCCACTACCTGGAAGCTCAACTATGGTATGCAAAATTATAAAATTAGATATTTTCATTAATTAATTTATTTATCACCTTCTTTTTTACTGATGACTTCTATGTAATAACAGGGAGATAATGATCAATTTTCACCTAATTGACATCCAAAGTGTAGAAGAATGGAAGGTGTAGTATAAATGGGCACGATATTTTCATTATGTATGGCAGATGTTTTTAAATATTGTACGGATTTTTTTTTATTAAGAGAAGTGCAGACTATTTAGTTCAAAGTTATTGAATATATACAATTATGAATTTGTTTTAAGTTTTTCGTTGAAAGCTATGGATTTTGTCGCTCATTTGTCAAGCAAAAAATTTTTGATTCATGAAGACTTGTTGCGTATTCTTGGGCAATAATAAGAATTATTGTTTTCCCTACTATAACAATAACATTTCTTTTGCTTGTTATTGTGCAACAACTGGCATTTTCGCAGACAACTGGAAGCTTTACTGTAGATTTGGTGATAATAAATTACAATTAAAATCTTCATAGTTGGATGAAATAACATAAGGGGTGGAAATTCCACTTGAGTTGCCTTTGTTGCATGGAAGGCATTATACCGTCCTTTGGTCCATTCCAGATGGATTGTCTCAACCCTCTGAAGGTAAAGAAGTTCGCATCTGCTTCGGTTCCAGGAGAAACAACGAAGTCCGAGGTGATATCAGGGTCAACATCATGAGCTGAGAGTATTAATGCAAAATTTGTGGCAACTAATAGGTAAGACATCTTTTGATACTTAAATTACACTGCAAGTGTGGTTATATATATAAGGGTCTTTTTTGCAGTCGAATGGTAGAAAGCTTCAATGAATTATATATTGCGAATAAATCAAACGGTCAATTAACCACTCAGTAATATTTTATTGTTGCAGGCGGCTGGAATGCATGCAAATCATTTGCTTCTCAACAATTGTGTATGTTTTTTTGCTTTGTGGACTCCGTTTATGAGAGAGTTTCTGTTGGAGAATACAAGAGGAAATTCGGAGTTGACTTATTAAAAATGTACAGTTCATTGCTAAAGTGATTTATTTGTTTGAAAGAAGCTGATCGAGGACGATGGAATTCAACTTTGTAAAACAGAAAGTCTTAATAATTCATTTTAAACTCTTTGATTCTATATATATATATATATATATATGTGTATGGAACAGTAATTTCAGGACATGTATTTCCAGCATCCTTAACTTCTTAATGCTCGATTTTCATTTTGCTGTTATTACTTAATGTTTTGCGTTAATTATGACTTTTCAGCAGATACGGAAGGGTTGATAGGGTAGATATGAAGGCAGGTAAGTTAGTTTCAAGTTCCTTGGCAACAAATTTCAATGGCTGATATAAACTCTTGAGCTAGTTCATGTATTATTAACTTTTGATGGATTTAATTATGTTAAGAGAAGCCTGAACAACTATCTGTGTTTTGTAGGAACTCGGTATTCTAAGTATTGGTCTTCACAGATTGTATTTTTCATTTTTGTCGAGGCAAAATCGATCAATACCGAGCAATACGCAAACTCCCGGGTCCGGTCCGGGCGGGTTGTCGGGCCGCGCGGTAAATAGTGAGGAACACGGTGGCGCCTGTTTACTGCTCACCGAATGTAGAGCACATCGGGCTGACCTAATAATTTTTCCTGCAAGTGAGACTTACAACCTCTCAATTATAGAAAAGCTTCAATCTGTTAGGTTTTACAATCTCGATCTATAGCGAAGATGCCACAAATTCGTCCAGGTGTGTCAAATTAATTGAGTTATTTAATGAGTTGATAAGAGGTTACGGTTGCAACTTTACTAACGGAGATGCTTAGAGTTGAGATTCATGACCTCTAAATTACAAGGTGAACCTAGATATAGGTCTTATAACCAGCCCTTAGCACGATATGGCTAAGGTAATATGTACTAACTAACTTCGAATATATTTTTGTCTTAATATAAATTGCGAGCTGAGACTTAGATCTTTTTATAGTAAAAATCCTAGAGAATGAGACTTATAAAGTGAAAGCATTAAGAA